TGTCGGAATTGAATAAATGTTCAAAAAGCTTTTCCCGAAGTACTGAAAATAAATAATATCTAAAGTAATGATTATTATAGTCAAATAAAGTCTCATATTTTCGATGCTTCAGGCAAGACAATCAATTCTTGCAGTTTCTCGCAAATTGCATACTCCGTCATATGGTCTGAAATCCGACGAAGTTAAATCGTTGATATAAAGTTTCGAGGAATGTTTACTTTCCAATATCGTGAAATGAAACCCATACTTGTGGTAAGACCAACCCGTTTCTTAAATGTCAATAGTAACAGCTAACTGAAGAGAGGAAGTTTATTTAGAACACGTCTCTGATATATAAATGAATTCTGAATTGTGATTTCATGGTACAATAAATATTCATTGATATAAGTTGTGACATTTTTATTGCAAAATACTGTTGGATTAATATCTGCAGGTTGAAAAAGTGTACACGTGAGATATTTCTTGTATTAGTACTGTTATTACTTATAATGATTATTACGTAAAATCAATTGGAAGTTTTTAACAATTTCATAGATTATTGAACTCGGCAAAATGACACCAAAAAAGAAAAATCGAAATACAATGAAAACCAGAAAAGTATGTGTCTGAAAGTTACTTCTTTGCATGATCAACACATCTTTGTAAAAAGTTTATTTTGAAATTAATTGCTTGATTACTTCCTTTCTTTGGAAGAATCCCATATATTTTTGTATGGGTTCGGTTGTTTTATTGGTTCAGAAGTTATGAGGAGATCAATATCAATATCAATCAATATCAATTGATTCTCAATTTTGATTTTAGATCATTTGGATGTAGATGTCAAGAAAATGCTATGTGATTCATTAGTTTTATCTCATTTCAACCACTGTGTTTAAAGAAGAACGGCAGGTGTCGCATACAAAAAGTACTCTTGCATCAGAAGAAGGTCCAGAATTTCACACAAATTAGCAGATTTGAAGTGGTTCAATATTTTAATCGTAGACGTTTTCAGACAACATGCATATTCTTTAAAATAATCAAATATAGGAATCCTCTCAACTTATACGAACATTTTCTTAGAGAACAAATGTCGATAACCTGAATTTGCGTAAAAAGACAGTGTTAAACATTCCTGTACATAAAAAGGAAATAATTAAACGATCTTTTTCCTATAATATCTCCTCCACAATAAATTATCTCCATAAATGGGAAAACAATTGTTTCAACATGCCAGAAACTGTTTTTAAAAGTGTGTTTAAACAGCATCTGTTCAGCATTCAGAATAACTTGGTCCAGGCGAGAATTCTGAAAAAGGTTTTAGCTACTCATATATCTCTATAGCTATATATTACCTTCTCTTTTTTTTTCCTTTTTTTTTCTCTTCAAGCCCTGATAGAATATTTTATTCTTATACATTTTCGGCATTGGTGAAAGAGTAGATGCGAATGCAAATTCGCTATCTGAACCAATCGCCATTTGCACATCAAATACAAAATGTTTTTATTTTTCCCTCTCTCTTGTATTTTTCTCTCTCTCTTGTATTTTTTTGATATCATTATCATTGATTGATTAAACTTTGTTAATTTTTTTGTTTATTGTTTATTTTTCAGATTGTGTATGGGTTATATACCCAAAAACAGTGAGAAATATTGAGTCCTCCACAAAAAAAATGTCCTTCAAAGAAGAGGTGAACTGTTCTGATTACAACGAGCTATTCGTAATACAAAAATCTAGGAAAATATAGAGAAATTTCAGTGACAGAAAACTCAAACCTAAAACCTATCTGACACTTATATAAAATAATAACGACATATCCATCGACGAAATCGATTTTCGTCGATTTCTGCTTTCTATTCAGAACACTTTCGCAACACCAGAACAAAAATTACGGTCTCTCGACGCACGTTTCGCTAACCAAGTTAGCATCCTCAGAAGGTCGTGATGAGTCGTAATGATCTCCTGTTCTCTTAATAGATTCATTTTACGCCAGAGGTTCCAGCTTTGCAAAATTTATCGGAATGATATCCTTAAATGATAGAAGAAATCAAATCCTGCACTTAAGCTGGAAACATAGGAGTCATCTAAGAAATCTGACATGCTCATTCAATTTGAAATTGAATGAGCATGTCAGTCAAATCTTGCAAAAAAACAATTTTGCAAAGAATACCTACTGTTTCTCAAAATGTCACAGTTTATTTCAAACACCTTCAATGAAGATGAAAAATAGTGAGCAGAGATATGCAATGTTCATACTGGTGTAGAGACGGATATGAAAAAATGAATTCGACGAAATTTGAACTGAGATTTAAAAAATGCTTCTCCCAAGGTATTCCACCGTGAAATACCTGTTGAACTTGAATGTTTTTATGTTGATATTTATAAAAAGAAGTGATTGGGATTGGAATTGGAAACAAATACGTAAGTTAGTCTCAATCTTCGACAATGTGAAATAGCAAGATCGTTCTTGTGTTGTACCTATAGATGAGAATTATACAGTGTGTTTTGAGTATACAACATAAATTGGATTTTTTTTCTTGTATGTGTTGCACAATCGGAATTTAAATACCAACAAAAGTTAGTACATTTCGAATAATCATTGCACTGGAAGTAGCTTCAACATAAAATTAGACAGTGCAGGTCAAATTTATTGAATTTATTCAAAAATAAAATACTTTCATTCAAGAATAAAACACTTTCATTCCGGTTATTTCGGTTGATAGCTGGTTAACAGAAAAACTCATTTTAATCAATCGATGATATAATATGTTTTAGGTATCTAGGTACATTCAACAGAATTCATAAATTTATGATTTTATCAACAAGGCAAATATTTCACCAATAATAATTGCAGTTTTCAATCATTCAACAACAAAATAAAATACGAATAGCTAAGGAAAAATCTTTAAGCAGTTGAAAAATCGGTAGTTTGATAGTTCTGCATTCTAAATTTCATCTGTTGAATTCTTTCAGTCATTGGACACACAACTAGCAAAAATTATAATGAACTGCCATACAATCTGTTCATAGCATTAGTTGAAAAGAACAAGATCGGAAGATATTCGAATATACTGAATTGAAAATGTGAGCTTGAATGATGAACCAACAGATGCAAAGGTACATTATATTTACGTGTCAAAAAAGCATAGGTATTTAGAATAATCAACTATTATGCCTGTCTATTACCTACCTGGTGGTTTTATCATTCAATACCAAATTGCTATTTTGCATATCTCTGAAAAAAACTATTCAACACAGTTCGTTACCTCCGTTAAATTATGTAGCAAAATATCATTAAAAATTCTCCTTTCAGTCCAAAAATAGAAAAATAATGATCTAATACCTTCTGTATATCTAATGTACCTTCGTTATATCAACTACTAGGGGTTTTTCTAGATTTTCTGAGAGCAAAAAATGTGCCTATCTATGATTTATAAGAAAATCGTTTCACTAACTGTAAATATAGCCAATCAAAGTTTCATCCTGATCAACTGAGCAATATTTTTATATTACTAAAAATAAATCTTTGACGTAATTCTCCAAATTGACATTACTTTTCCATTTCTGAACCGATTTGAATGAATCTAACACTGAATGTTCAATGAATCTTGCAACATTAGTGAAAACTGCTACCGAAACGGTAAAGCCGTTTTTGTGATTAGACGCACAAACGCACGGACAAACAAAAAATCTGAAAACTGTTATATTGGGTCATTATAACAATCTTCAGTAATGGGTTTTTTCAGTTACCTTCCATGTATAGACAGTAAACTTTCATTGATATTGATCATACGATTTTTTTTTAATGAAAAGCCACACAAAACTGCATTTCTGATATGAATATCATGCAACAATATAAATAACCCTGCCCCAGCTTCAAAAGGATTCTGATTTGAAATAATATAAAAAACAAAAATTTGAAAAAAAAATTGAATGTGTCTCTGAGGACTTTTGAAGATTGCCGGTTTTACATATTTCGAGACTTAACTAAAAATGGTTATGGAACAAACGATAACCTTTGGCGAAGGTCAAAGTTTTGTTGTGCAAAATATACAATACTAGCGATCCGCCCCGGCTCCACACGGGTGTAATGCTGATACTAAATATACATATAAACGAATGTGATCACTGCTAATTATAAAGTGCCATAGGGAGAAGCGCGGCCTCCGACGAGCTATTGATAGGCACGCGCCGCCAACTCCCCGGCCGGTCCCGCCGCAACCCCTATGTCCCTGCATTTCAAATCTGTAGTATATTCGAAAGTATTCATTTGAATTACATGCTGTATAGGGCCATATTAATCTATATTAAATACACAATGTATTTAAGGTACCTATTTGGATAAAGATTAATGCTATAGTGCTTCAAATCGCTTCGTAAATAAGTATAGGATAAAAAATGGTTATTGTGGGTTATCCCTAAGAGATAGACGTATACCATCGCAGGCTTTTTTGTGGAGCTGTTTAAGATGTACCATACTATAGTACATTATTTTGATCTATATCTTTAGGGTTCAGCCGGCGTTTGCAATGTAAAAATGTGTTCATTCACGACATCACATTAGAAACCTCTGAAATTATCAGTGTTTCTCTACTATATTATATATGTTATTCAGATATAAACCTTCCTCTTGAATCACTCTATCTATTACAAAACCTGCATCAAAATCCGTTCGTTGGATAGTTTTAAAGATCTAAACATAACATAGGGACAGACAGCGGGAAGCGACTTTGTTTGTCATTCCTATTTGCAGCACTGTTTTCACAATAGAGATTCTTTGATGTTGAAAGACAATATTATGTTTCGGTACTTCAACTGATTTTAAGATAAAGAAGACGTGATAATTTTAATGGCAATTACACTTAATATTATTATTCTAACTATAAAGGTGTATACTATATCAGTGGTTTTGGTTTCATGACATTCATTATAGCATTGCGGAAATATATTAAAAAATTCATAGATTCATTCATTCTCTGGGTAGTTAAAAAAAATATACCTTTTTCGTTAAAACTAATTCTTACCTTGGAATCCCACGAGTTTTTCCTGTGCCCTTTCCTCTCCATAGACACCGTCATTGTTCTCGATTCGTTAAGTGTCTCTCATTTGTTTCAAAACCGGACAATTACCCGATACACTAAACACAGAATTTCATTAAAATTCGCTCACGTTCGATGTAGTCTAACAGTATATAAAAAGCACGTACAGAGGTCACAGTTATTTCATCATTGGAACTACTTCTTGGGACTTGATTGAAGAATTAAATGATCATTGCAGTGATGCTGAGTTCTCTCACGGCGTTTTCACTTTGGTGTCAGATACATCGGAAGCCACTTTCTCCTGCAAGAGATTATATGTTGAGTGTTTTTGAAGATGTCGGTAGTAGTTATTGGTTGGATGTCTACATCTGAACTGCTGTGAAATTATTTAATTGCAATTCGATATACTTCAAGAATTCATTTAACTTCATTGTGTGAAACAATTCCGTTCCCAAGCAATATAAAGTATTCAGTTTTGAAAATTGATTGCTAACTGAAATTGAATGCATTCATCTGATGTCTTCCTTATTGCCATCTATCAGATCTGGAGTTATAACCAGAGATGAAGGAAATTATTTGAGGTCAAAGCTATTATTTATTTTCCCCAGTGACTCATCCAATATCGTCAATCGAATCAATTCAATTCTAGCAACGGATTCACAAAAATAACGATTTTAGAAATGTTTTTCCACTGATGATTTAAACATGATCGATTTTGTAAACTACTTCAGTTTCTTACTATTTTATGGAAAGTAATAACACAAGATCTCAAAATGATATCGATAAATACCCATTTCAATAAATTGATGAATGTAGCACCCGCAATGTTTATGCTTGTGAATTTCCAAGGATTCCAAATAATTGAGTTTGCAACCCTTCTTTGCATAGTGCAAAATTTCCGTATCGTTTAGATTCGGAAACTTGTGGTTGCGTGCCAAGGAATGGTTTGAAAACGTCGAATCATTTTTACCTAGTCTGAAGGACCTTTCATGTTCAGCATACTGTTTTTGGAAATTTAGACCACATTGTCCTACATAAACACTATATTTCTAATAATAATCTAAAAAATTCAAACTGGAGTAATGGAGAATGTCTCAACACCAGCGATTACTTACATCTTAGTGAAATCTCGGAAAATGACATCATTTCGGCTTCCAATAAGTTGAAAAATAAATTGACAGTTGGACCAGATGGCATTTCAGTCAAACTTGTTAAGAATCATATTGCTCTTTTTGCGAAGCCTCTTTGTATCATTTACAACCTCATGCTGAAAAATTGTTACTTTCCGAATATATGGAAGCTGTCGAGAGTATGCCCTATCTTTAAAACCGGCAAGAATACGGAAATAGTAAATTATAGACCGATTACAATAATATCAGTGTACTCGAAATTAGTTGAAATTATTTTATCAGACATCATTTATAAGCATGTAAAAAACACAATTTCAGAATTTCAACATGGTTTTGTGAAGTGTCGTGGCACTGCATCAAATCTTTGTATTTTCACACAATATGTTTCTGACAAACTGGACCAACGTAAACAAGTTGATGTGGTGTATACGGACTTCAGCAAGGCATTTGATCGGGTTTCACATCATCAGTTGCTCATGAAATTATCAAGCTTTGGCATTTCGAGTAGCCTTCAATATCTGCTGAAATCATATCTTAGTGAAAGACAATTATTTGTGGAATACGAAGGAATTAAATCGTTTATATTTAATGCAACTTCTGGGGTTCCTCAAGGTTCAAACTTGGGTCCACTATTATTTCTTCTGTTTGTTAATGACATTTCTGATAATATCAACTCTAAAAAACTACTTTTTGCTGATGATATGAAGATTTTCAGGGAGATTGAAGACTACTCTGACTGTATATCATTACAAAACGATATTACTGAGTTACATGATTGGTGTCAGAAAAATGAACTATCATTAAACATAGGCAAATGTAAAATAATGACTTTTGCAAGAAAATCCTCAGTACAAATATATAAATACAAATTGGATAATATAACATTGGCAAGAATTACCGAATCGAGAGATCTGGGTATTATCTTTGATGAAAAACTAACGTTCTCGTCACATATCGAAGAAATAACATCCCGTGCAATGAAAATAACTTTGTTTTTT